ACCTGCATTTCGCGCACTCGACACGCACGATCTCCGCAGAGGGTTGCACTTTCGGTTGACGCTGTTCGTCCCACCCTCCGCCTTTAAGAGAGAATTTACAAAGTGGGGAAATGTTTTTTCATTAGGACATCTCCCGTGCTAGTTCACTTGCCTACTCATTGCATGCTTGCAATACTCATTGCATGCATACTCATCATTGCATGCATACTCATCACTTGCATACTTACACTTGCATACTTCCACTTGCATACTTTGACAGCTTTCGCTCTTCCACTTACACAGGGCTACGTATAGCGTTCATGTTATTTATCCTGCCAGTGTGGTGAAAGTGTCAATGTCTAGCTAGGTGTGTGGTGAAAGTGTCAATGTCTAGGTGTGTCTAAGTGTACGCGTCGAAGTGTCAGTGTTCAAAGGATTTTCCGGAAGAACCCTTCGCAATGCTTTCGGGAAAAAGGGGATTCATGATAATATAGTTCTACTATATATGCAGGCATGTACATATTTATTTCCGAGATTTAGGGCTAAGTTGGAGCATAGTAGCATTCTGAAGGAACAGAGACGGACATCAGGACAAGGCATGGGGTGAGACATGTGCAGAGCTGCCTTGACCCCTATAGAAAAGTGGCGCAGACGCACACTTATTGAAATGCATGCTGACTCGAATGCCGCTCGCCGCACGGCAACCGAAGGAACCAGATTCCTGAACAACCAGGTAAGGAGGCCTGAGCGCCTTTAGTTAAAGGCCCAAAAGTTCAACTCCACGAAGCGACGAACAGGTCGAAGTGACGGCGGCCGCTCTTGTCTGCAGAGTGCATTATAGCTTTTACTGAACAGTAGGGTCACAGCTTGATCAAAAGTTCAAGTCTTCGCAGGTCAAGTCTGTGCGTCCACAGACTCATCCACCCATTTCTGTAGCTTCGTTGGCTAGCGTCGAGAAATGGGCCGCTAGCCCCCTGCTGTAAATGCTAACAGAGGAAAAATCGAGAACAATCCAAAAGGATCCCTGTGACTCCAAGGGTTACACGCACACACACACACATCCAAAAGGCATGCGCTCAGCCACAATTTTCTCAATCGCAGGCAATCCTTTGCATGGCTGGCTTTCCAAGGAATGTTGAAAGCCAACAGAGAAGGGTGATTTCATGCAAAATTTCTGGAAGTCTAGGTGGACTACTACCATCCACGCAGACGACGACTGCTCCCTACTGGCGAACAACTACAGCTACTACCACTACTACTACCACTACCACTACCACTACCACTATCACTACCACACTACCACTACCACACTATCACTACCACACTCTCACTACCACACTATCACTACCACATTACCACTACCACACTACCACTGCCACACTACCACTACCACACTACCACTACCACTGCCACACTACCACTACCACTCTACCACTACCAGTATAACTACAACTACGACTACGACTACTACGAGGACCACGACGACGACTACGACTACTACCACCACCACCACCACCGCTGCTACTAGTCTTATTACAGACGACTACCTTTATTATGCTCATTGCCAGTGCTCTTTACTCTCACTCTTGCTCCTACTCCTCCTCATCCTCCTCCTCCTACTCCTACTCTTCTTACATCTTCTTACTACTGCTACTGCTTTTGCTTCTACTAGTGTTATGACCGCTGCTTGTTGCCGTTACAACTGCTGTTACTGCTACTCTGGCTACTTCTCCTCCACATCCTACTGCTCCTCCTGGCTCCTGTTGCTGCTGCTGTTACCACTACTAGGACAAATTATGACAAGGGCCAGGACTTTGACTGGCTATTTTTTTGAAATTTTGTCAATTTTTTTCTTCTCCAGGCGCAGCAGTCCGGGCCTCACTGGCGGCCGCGGGAGCCTCCAATGTGGCGATGCCTGGGGCCCCGATCGGTTAGCGACAGCAGGGGTCGTGAACAGATCAGCGTCAAATGACTAAGTCACTTGACTATGCATGTTGCTATCAACCTAAGTCACTTGACAGTCACTTCACCTCTAGCTGAGAGTTGTGCCATTGACCTTCTCTTGTGCCAAAGTACCCTTATGGGCATACAAGTCAAGTTTCAATTTATGTGTGCTTACAGAAACAAGGTGATCCCGCGGACCCAAAAGCAAAAAGACACGCGCAACCCAGGAAAAATACACAAACACACATCAACAGGCCCACCCTTCCCTAGCGCCGACAAACCCATGCACCTCCCATCTCGCGCCCCTCCCTCTTCCCTTCCCCGCCCCGTCCACCCATGCGCCTCCCGTCTCGCTTCCCTCCCTTCCTTCCCAGCCCCGTCCACACCCACGCGCCTCCAGTCTCGCGCCCCTTTTCCTTCCATCCACAGCCCCGTCCACAGCCATGCACCTTCCATCTCGCTCCCCTCCACACCCACGCGCCTCGTCCACACCCATGCACCGTCCGTCTCGCTCCTTGCTTCCTTCCTTCCTTCCTTCCTTCCTTCCTTCCCCAGCCCCGCCCACACCCACGCACCTCCCATCTCGCGCCCTTTCCTTCCATCCACAGCCGTTCACGCCCATGCACCTTCCGTCTCACTCCCCTCCCTTCCTTTCCCAGCCCCTCCACACCCACGCGCCTCCCGTCTCGCGCCCCTTTTTCCTTCCATCCACAGCCCCGTCCACACCCAATGCACCTTCCGTCTGGCTCCTCCCCTCCTTCCCCAACCGTCTCGCACCCCTTGCCTTCCCATGCATCCAACTCATGCGCCGGCTGCGCTTGGCCGCGTTTACGGTCTCCGATCGTTTTAGCCTTTGATTGGTGCTCAAGGTCCAAGGCATTTCGCACCTGAAGATCAAACCAAATTCTTTGACAGGCTGAAGTCCATCCACATTTCGAGCAGCTCTCCACAGCTTCTCAAAAAACAAGTAAACTCATGCTTTCCAAGCAGAAACATAAGATGCAAGAGCTGTGCGAGAGCATTCGAACAAACATGTCATCATTAACTAACATGACAGTGGCTGACAAGGAATATCCAAGGTTCGATCCAGGTATTCCTTTGAGCATCTGAGACACACACACACACCCTTTCCAGAAGCTTAGTCAGTTCGTTCGACTGCCTTGCTGTGGTCCCGCTATGTTGCTGCGATCCTTGGATGAGCTGTATGGGGGCCTGCGCACGTTGTCCAAGAAGCTGGTGGCTGTGGATGCGCAAAGCCACGAGCACCAGAATGCCAAGGCCGGTGGGGGTGCAGACTGAAAGGCGCACATATACAGTTGACGTTTGAAGCACAAAAACACAAGTCCTAGGATTCATTGGGTTTTGAGGCGGAGCAAGTGGCATTTCTTTCTATCATACCGGTTCTATTTTACTTTATTTTTTCGTAGAGTATCCCATGTGATTTCTGAGGTTCTTGACACATTGTCACTCACGGGTTCAGTGAGACGAAGGTAGCCCAAAGACACCCCACAATACCGTGAACTTCAGGACCTCTTCTAGCTGGTGGGAAATGGCTGACATCTCCGTGGACCCTTGTAAACTAGCCTGAGTAGAAATATATACCTATAACACCGCAAGTGTGCGCGTGCGAGTGCCGAGCGAAGCGTTCACCGGGCGGTCGTACCTGTGCCGGTCAGAGCCAAAGCTGAGGGCGGTCAGGCCACCCTTAAGGTTTTGACCTTGCGGGCTCAAGCGCAGTGGAAGATGCTACTAGGAGCAAAGGGGCTCCTGGCATCGCTACTCACACAACTTGCGCTCACTGTCGACGCGCTTCCCGCGACCCTTCGCCGTGTTGGCGCTACCTGGCATTCTGCAGTTTGATGTTTGTTTAAACATATCCTGAAACCATGCTGCATTCTTATGCCGTTCAATACGGTGCCTGAAGCGTTGTTCGGACGCATGGCTGTGTATTCTCAGCAGCCC